TGCTGCTCAGCAGAGAAACAAAGGACTCCTGAATCTACATCTCCAGCCTACATAGCATCCCTGCACTCCACACCCCTGTACCCCAAGGGAATTTCCAAAAGGCACCTTGTGTCCTGTCTCAGAGACATCTTAAACTCAAATTTTAAAACCTAATCTCATTTTAATCTACCCTGTCTAGTAAATGACCGCACCCCCTCCCACTCTCCAACTGAACACAGGAGTCCCTCCTGAATTCACCCCTGAACACTTTTACCCCGTAGTGTACCAGTCCCAAGCAGGCAGGTGAAATTCTCTAGCCCATCATATTTTCTAGATCCTCTAGTATCCAGCCCCTGATCCAGGCAGAAAGTAGTTTCTTTTTTCTGAATTGTCCTTGCCCTTGCTTCCCGATTCAGAAGGCTTCAGAATGTTGCTTCAGATTTTAGGAATAGGAGTTTCCCCAAACAGCTCCCTTCATAGTAGTTCCTAAGGCAATGACCATTTTAATCAGCAGAGCCTGCCTCTAGTCCCCCTTAAATGGGACATAGCCTGCTGGGCATCCACATTCCCAAGAGGGCACTATTTGGGGCAGGACAACTCTTTGTTGTCCAGGATAATGCTATGAACTAAAAAGTCTACAGTTATGTCCTTTAGTCATTGTGACAACCAAACCTCCCTGACACATTGTCAACGCCCCCTGGGGAGGAGATGCAGTGCTGCTCAGCAGAGAAACAAAGGACTCCTGAATCTACATCTCCAGCCTACATAGCATCCCTGCACTCCACACCCCTGTACCCCAAGGGAATTTCCCAAAGGCACCTTGTGTCCTGTCTCAGAGACATCTTAAACTCAAAATTTAAAACCTGATCTCATTTTAATCTACCCTGTCTAGTAAATGACTGCACCCCCTCCCACTCTCCAACTGAACACAGGAGTCCTCCTGAATTCACCCCTGAACACTTTTACCCAGTAGTGTACCAGTCCCACAAGCACAGGTGAAATTCTCTAGCCCATCATATTTTCTAGATCCTCTAGTATCCAGCCACTCCATCACAGCCCCTGATCCAGGCAGAGAGTAGTCTCTCTCTCTCTTTTTTTTTTTTTGAGATTGTCTCGCTTTGTTGTCCAGGTTAGAGTGAGTGCGTTGGCGTCAGCCTAGCGCACAGCAACCTCACTTCTGGGCTCAAGTGATCCTCCTGCTTCAGTCTCCAGAGTAGAGGGGACTATAGGCATGTGCCACCATGCCCCGCTAATTTTATATATATATATATACACACATATATATATATATATATATATACACACATATATATATATATATATACATATAACTAAGCCAATTAATTTCTTTCTATTTATGGTAGAGACAGGAGTCTCGATCTTGCTCAGGCTGGTTTCGAACTCCTGACCTCAAGCAATCCGCCCACCTCGGCCTCCCACAGTACTAGGATTACAGGCCTGAACTACTGCGCTGGCCGAGAGTAGTTTCTAATACAAAGCTGAGGAGATCAATTTTAAGGTGAGCTCCTCCTATCCAGTCTTTTGTTTTTGTTCTACAAGGTTTTGTTCTACAGAGGAACAATAAAGAGAGGTAGTGTGTCTGAGCAGTGGGAGAATATGAGTTTAGGAGTTAAGGCAGAGCAGAATTTAATTCTAGTTCTGCTACTTATTAGGTACACGGCCTGAAGCAGGCCCTGAGCAGATGGAGGGCCAAGGGCCTGTCCCAGTAAGGCCTTTACTCTTTGAGACTTCCATCAAAGGCTCATGCTGTGTCTTGTTTACTTCATCTGTCTGTCTCCCTTGGGAAGCTTGGGGGCAAGGGCTTTGACCTCTCTCTCTAGGCCCCAGTCCCCCAGCCCAGAGCTTGGCATATAGTAGGCACCCTCTCATCTAGTGAATGTTTATGGAACGAAGGACTGAGTTGGAAATCACTCTGTAAGCTGTGTAGAGCTATACTACCGGTACTTCTTTTTCCTCATAATACCATTTGGCTTTCATAGCAATAAACACCAATAGCATCACTTTAGTTCAGGACCTTGGGTGGAGGTTGCAAGGTAAGCACAAAGAGCACTATAATGGGAGTCTGAACTTCTGAGTTCTTGTCTTGGCTCTGTTAACTAACCAAGCCTATCACCTTGGGTATGGCACTTTCTTCAACTGAGGAAATGGAGCTTTGGCTTAGGACAAGGGTTTTTAGTCTGCGGTCTCCAGACCCCAAGAGGGTCTATAAAGGGGAGTCATTGAACAAACTGAACTGTAAACTCTGTTTGCATTCTGTGAGGAGACCACAGATTCCTGCTAATCTAGATAACCCAGTTCCTCTATTTTGATCCTGTTGCATGTTCTTTGGAGGGGACAGAGGGTCAGGGGAGCAGCAGAGATGGCTGGCAATGCTCCCACATACCCACCACCATCTCAGACCTATCTGAGTGGGACTTTGTCAAGGGAGCCCTGGCATGACCACAGGGCTGACTCAGCTCCCTAAACCTTGGCTCTATGAGCCAGGGACCAAAATGCAAGGTCTGAGGTGAGGCAGAGGAGACATATACAGAATGCTCCTAAAGTCCTAAAGGGACAGGGCCCTGGGATCAGAAAGGAAAATGGTTGGAAAGTGAATCAGATGTGGGCTAATGGAGATAAGGAGCCAAGCAGCATTAGAGGCTTGGGGACTGTCAAGATCCAGAAGTCTGGCGCAAGCAAGGGGAAGGCCAGGAGTTCTGGAGATGGAGGCCTGGACTGGAAGGAAAGGAGGAGCTGGCACTTTCTGCGTACTTCCTAAGTGCTGAATACTCTTGTGATCATAATAATCCTGCAAGAGAGGTTTTATCAGTCCCAAGCAAGGGAGATTAAATTCCATAGTTTTTAAGTGTCCTCTGTACCCACCCACCCCCACCCACCTGCCACCTCCATCCCAGTCAGACTGCCCAGAAGTCAGGGGAGTCTAACTACTTAGTATCTTTTCTGAAAGGCACAATGACAAGAGGCTGGACTGTGAACCTGCAGCTGGCAAAGGAGGGGGAAGGCTTCAGTTAGTTTGCAACTCCTGTTCTGGGCGCCAGCCACGTGCCAGCCACGGGCTAGGTTCCAAGAGGCTTGCCACAAGATCCCGGCCCTTAGCAACAAGCCCCCACCGCCAACCGCAATCTCCCAGGGCAAACAGCTCGGATGCCTGCAGCCAGGGCGCTTGAGGTGCGGACTGCCCGGGCTGGAGAGGGAAGCCAGGACCGTCAGTGGCTGGGCTCGGAGCGGAGCGACGCAGGGTCGGATAGGCTTCCCACCCTCCTTCCCGTTTTACCAGGCGCAGGTCCCCGGCGCCGTGCACCACCAGGGACAGGTTCTCGGGGTTGCCCTTCGCCGCCATGTCGCTCTTTCACTCCCGGGTGCTGCTGGCCAGAAGGTAGCGGATCTGTGGTGGCTCTGGTGGCTGCCCGCCGGTGGTCCGCTATTAAGGGGTGGGAGGCGGGGCCTGAGCTGGGCGGCGCGAGTGGGGCTGGGCCGGAGCGTACCGGTTCCTGACAGCCGGGCGGCGGGCTGGAGCTGGTGGGCGGGGCGGGGCGTGGAGCGGGCTCGGACTCAGTGACTCTTAATTTATTACCCTATATTTACTGTTTATTCACAAAACTACGACTGGGGCTCATAAAGCAACTTCTAACATGCATGGAATTTGGTGAAAGCTCCACATCCTTCCACCTCAGAAAGCTAGAAACAGTAAATGCAGCGCTTCTTTACTAATAGTAAAATCCCTTATCTGGAATTAATACTAAATAGGAGCTTAGGGTAAAGTTTATGGAATTTTTGTTGAAAGCTGTGAGTTTAATAGGACATTATTAAACCATTTAATCCTTCCGAACATCGTGCCTCAGGAACTTTCCCTCAGGAGTCTGGCGTCACCAGTGCCCAAGTGACAGCAAAAGTTCAGCCTACTTCTAATTCAACTGAGCACAAGAGCACTTCACAGCAGAATCAATGTGAAACTGAAGGAAAAATCACACTGCTTTCATTTCACCACATGATTATAACCCCAAATGACCACAGTGAACAAGAAGACAAATGTAAGAAATACACCATATTCTAACACTGGGTCATTTCAATGCCAGGCCTATTTATTTCTAGGAATCACTATCTTTCCTAAAGGACATAGAAACATGCCTTAGGAACTATCCATCAAGGAATATAGTGATATTTAAAAGATTACTCTTATTTGCAGACAAATTAAAGTTAAGTTTAAATGAGGATGAATCTAGCATTGTTTCAATCCAGCATTGTAGATCATCCCAACACATTCTGCAATCAACCCAGGAAAGCTGCAATTTGGTCCTCCTTCCGGCATTCAGAACACTACTGCCAACCTTGTTCCATAATGTGTGAGGAAGAGAGCAAGTTTGGAGAAAGGTAACAGTCAAACTCACAACTAAACCCCTACTCACCAATGCCTGTGTACCTCAGGAATGGATAGTCTCTGTCTGGTTCAGCATATTTAGGATTAGAAAATGACTTAATTGGGAACACTCCTGATTCAGACCACAAGTCATGTGATTTGTTTAATTCCTAAGAACGTCTACTTTGAGCTCACCGTACTATATACTATGCAGTCCATCTATCAAATCGCTTTCCTCTATGGTTGAAAAGAGATATTTTTTCACCTGAACACAGATAAGTAGTTGATTATAGTTGAGGCATGTAGAAGACAACTATTTAGCTTAATGTTAGACTCTGCACTACTATGCTGAAGCTCATAATAGAAGCATTTTAAACAGAAGCCATTTCAGTAATAACAGCTTCATGTTCTATCTTTTCACTCCAAGCGCAAACATAGCTACCGAATGGAATGCAGTATTGAAATATACGAATCAAATGGTGAATAGGAGTCTACTCATACCCCACACAACAACCATAATTTGCATCACCTAGGACAAAAGTACTTGTAGAGCTTTAGAATGATCTAAGACTGCAAACCCATGCCTGAACCTTAAAGGTGGGGAGAGAAATGCACCATGGTGGCGCGTGCCTGACTGGAGTCCAAGAATAGGCCCAGAATGACTCCATCCTCCCAAACAGTCATACGCTATTGGCCTTACTCTCTTAGAATCATCTTCAAGGGACCAGGGGAGTCATGTCCTCCTTTCGAAAGGGCTCTAACTGACCTCGCTGTTCATGTCCCAGTTACTTCACCTCTCATTCAAGTCAAAACAGCCTCCATTGGAAATGCTGAGGGAAACAAGCATCCATGTCAGAAGCAGCCAGTAGGCTTGTTCAGCTGTACGATGCAGCTATGACTCGATCATCCCTTAGCCACAGCGATCTATATTCCTACCAGACATACCAGGACCCAGCCAGAGCATTTGGAAACCAGAGAAGCCACAAACATGCATGTTAATAGTCACCATCCTGCAGACCTGAAGGCAGATCTTATTAGCTTAAGCCTAAGCTAGCTTGGAACCATCTGGCCACATAGGAATGTTCATTCTACTGACCATAGTAACACTGCAACGGTGCTAACGCAACCCACTACCACAATTCCAGAGGCAACTATGAACCAGGACCAAGGAGTTACCTGCACTACCGTAAGACTGAGAGATTTCTTTCAATCTAGACAACTCAAAGTAATGATACAGGATCAAGCACTGCACAACCAAAGAAAACAATAAGTTTCAGTATAACAAAAAGGATGATGAAAGCTGAAATTATATCATTTTTTCTTACTAAGCTAAGAAAACACAGATAAGAAATATAAAATAGGAACTAACAAACAATTAAATAAAGAATAGAAACATAAAAAGACAAAAATAATCCGAGAGCTGAAGAATATAGTGACAGAATGAAAATTCATAAGAGATGCAACACAAACTAGTTTACAGAACACGAATTACAAACTCAAAGACAGTCATTGAAAATTAGCCACTGGGAAAAAGAAAAAGGAAAAAAGACTGAAAAAGCAAAGAATATGAAAATCACAGCACTGAAATGATTATGGAACCAGAAAGAGAGACAAACAGAAAGTTTATTAAAAAAAGCTGGCAGGCGCAGTGCCCACCGATCTAGTACTCTGGAGCCCAAAAGGGGGGGAGCAGATGCTCAAAGTCAGGAGTTCAAAACCACCTACAAAAGCAGACCCTATCCTATTAAACTAGAAAGAAATAAGGCCAATGTATATATAAGAGACAAATAGCCAGCATGTGCACAATCCGAGTCCAGCACCAGGAGGCTGAGTGCAGGGATTGTTGAGCCCAGGAGTTTGAGGTTGCTGTGAGCTAGGCTGACGTCAACACTCACTCTAGCTGGCAACAAAGCAGACTCTTACAAAAAAAAGAAAAACGGCTGAAAATCCCCAAACTGGAGGATAGGAACTCCAATTTGAAGCCCAAAAGACTTTCACAAGATCACAAAGAAATACTTGAAAACATAAAATCAATTTTCAATCAAAAAAAGAAAATCTTGAAACCAAGAAGAAAAACTTTATTCTACAAAGTATGATCATAGCTATCGCAGACTCTCAATATGAACGTTCAGTCTGTGGTGGGAAAATCACGTTATCGTGCAGTGTATCGTGCTCAAAGAAAATAATCTCAATCCAAAAATGCTATATACGCAAAGATTCCATTCAGAACAAGGAAGAAATAAGTCCAGCAAACAAAATCTAAGGAGTTTTGACTACGTAGATTGCCTTACATATGCTAAAGGGAATTCCAAGTGAAATGAAAGAATGTTAATAATATAAAACATATGAAAAGCATAAAATCACTGTAAGAATAAAATAACATCAGAATTTATCATGATCTAATGCGTGGTGAGTAAATGATTTTAACTCAGTAAAAAAGTAAAGACAGAAGTAAAAATAAGCATATATTATAATCACAACAATATAAGAATAGGATACATTAATAACAAAATAATGAAAGAGGAAGAACAAATAGAGTTTCTTATTGACTGAGTTGTTACGGGTGCTAAAATATGAATTAAACATATAACATGTTTTATGTAAACCCCAATAACATAAAAAAAAACACCAAGTAGAATACAGAAAATGAAAGATATATCAAAAACATCATCACACAAAAAATGAACAAATCACAAAATAGACAGCAAGAAGAGAAAAAAAAAAGCACATAACAGTGAAAGAAATAACGTAAATGGCAATAGTATATCTCTTATGAATAGATACTTTAAATATAAATAGAGTGTTGATAGACCCAAAAATAATAGAATCTAAAATATACCAACCCTACAAAAACTACTTTATTGAATGTGAAGAGATAAAAAAGAGATGAAATAGTAATGAAAGAAGCAGAGTATCTATTCTTGTACCAGATAAAATAGTCTTTCAGAAAAAAGAGTCGAACAAAGAAAGTCCCTTATAACAAGAAAGGGTCAATTATCAAGAACAAGTTACTATTATAAACTTAGTGCACCCAACATCAGAGCACAATCAATATTACAAAACAATACACTTGGTCGTCCTTATCCCTGATATCAGGATTCAACAACTATGGACTGAAAAACCACAGTCGGATTTGTCAAGGAGTGGAACCACAAATTAGAAGGCGATATCAAAGGAAGACTTTTCTTCTCTTCTCCCATTCTAAACAATACATCATCATAATATTTCACATAGCATTTATGTGCATTAGGTATATAAGCTAATTTAGAGATGATATAAAGTAATAGAGGTGCAGAGGCATTGTAACCTATAAACATTTTATAAAAGACATTGGAACGTGAATTTGGCATCCACAAGCATCCAGGACCCAGTCTTCCATGGATCACTGAGGGACAACTGGTTAAGACTGAGGAGAAGCTAGACAGCATCATAAGCAGTACGGGACTATAATTATCCCCTTTCAACAATGGATGTCATCTCGACAAAAAAGCCATTAAAATAGACCAGATGGACCCGTAGAGGCAAAAGGTACCGGACCGGCGTTCTCAGACTCCAGCTGCAGAAGCGTGCGGATGCCCGGGACCAGCGCCCAGAGTCCCGTGCAGCAAGTCTAGTGTGAGGCGCGGCCCGAGTGTGTCTGTATCACTGGCAGTGAGAACGCTGAGGCTGCGAGCCCCGCCACAGCCATGCAGCGTCCATGTTGCCCCGCGACCCCAGCATCCAGCAAAGGCCCTGGCATGAGTAGGAGTGAATGAATTCTTGCATCGTGCCATGGGCCTGATGCATCGGTATAAAGAAGCTGTGAAACGGAATTTGTCAACTCCTTTCTCTTAACCGCCTCTGCTCCTTCTATTAGAAGCAGGGTTTCTGCCCAAATTCTTCCTTCAAGCCTCTCTCTACCCTCTGGCAAACACTACAGAGATTTCGGTCTCTGGGGAAGGAACTGCTTCTCTACAGGCCCTAAGCCTCTAAGGGCCCCTCCCTCCCTTGAGGGCAGTGCTCAAGGTTTTGTTCCCTAAGGCCTCTTGCCCTCTGAGAGCCCCACTGCTGATCCTCCTAGCCCTCTTTGGGAGACTCCCTAGTGGCCCCAGCCCC